TATTACAGGGAGGGAGGGGGGAAAGTATTACAGGGATGGAGGGGGGAGAGTATTACAGGGAGGGAGGGGAGAGTATTACAGGGAGGGAGGGGGATAATATTACAGGGAGGGAGGAGGGAGAGAATTACAAGGAGGGAGGGAGGGGAGAATATTACAGGGAGGGGGAGGTGAGGGTCTCTGGGGGTTACACAGCGCGGACACCGGCTGACAGACTGGCTCTAAGGCCTACCCTGAAAATAAGCCCTAGTGTGTTTTTTGTGACTAAAATTAATATAAGACCCGGTCTTATTTTCGGAGAAACACGGTAGAAGGTAACTCACAGGATGCAGCTATAACAAACCACATACCCTACTCTAATCTCTCACTTCCATCTCTCAAGCAAATCCATCCCTTCTAACAGCAGCGTCCGGTGAAACAGGGCGTGGTGGGCAGGGGGAAAAGGGTGGGCCACTGATGCAAAACACATAAACTGCATAAAGGAGACGGGTCTGCCTGAAGAATTGGAAGGTCAGTCTGGTGTGAATACATGTCAAGCTACCTGCCAATCATGCACGTTTGCCAACTAATGGCGTACAATGCAGACAGCACCCTAAAATTGGCGTAATTGGCTCTAATGATGTGCTCACTCTATCGTTTCTGGGAACAGTCCCCTAGCACTTATATGTCCACTCTAACCTTCTTACTAGCAAGCCGAAACTCCTGGTATGCAGTGTGGGACAGAGAAAAGGTGTATGTAGTGAGTGTAGAAGAAGGGGAACATGGCACAGTATAAGAGAGACTGAAACAGAAATTTATACAGTGTGCAAAGTCAGTTTTAACTTAACTCATTTTTTATCAATGGGCCTATTTAATGTGTATGGGACTGGAGTGTCAGCTCCATCAGCCCTTACAGCCCATGCTAATCCAACCCTGGGGACAGTCACTAGATCTTAATTTTATTCACAGATCAAGTGAGAAGTAACCAATAGATGGAAATATATGTATATATATTTACTGCTCCACCTCTTTTTCCCGCTATTCATTGTTTTTCCTCAAAAATGAGATTGTGCTGTAAAATATATACACAATGGGGGCAGAGCCTGAACCTTGTGCTAACCAGACATGTATGGGGAGAGCTCTTGCTTGTCTCACAGATTTACGGAATAAACCTATAACCACTGCAATAACATCAGGGTGAATCCACCCAACCTGCACTCGGGGTGATGTGGTGAATCCACCGACACCTTACTTGGGATCCTCCGACATTCGGAGACCGTGGAAAGATGCCGGGGCCTGCAGGTTGCTGAGCTGCAGAAGTGCGGCCTACTTTCCTGCTCTTAAGTTTACCGTACGGGCTACTCTCACTCCCTCCTCCCCTTTGGACCGTCAAGGGTTATCCAGGTCCCTACTGGACTGACCTATACGACTGATAGCTCATACTACCTACCCTCACACACCTAAGCTTTCCAAGATGTCAGAGAAACCTTCCACCGACCTGTGCGACACACGCAGCCTCACTGGGTGCTCCCTGCTGAGACTGGAAGCCATATTTCACGCCTCAAGAGCAAATCCAACTAGGATAACACCAAACTCCTGTCAAATCACCCCAGGGTGACATGAGCTGGCAAGCTCCCTCCACCCGCCATGCATACATACCCAAGCTGCGAGTCAGCAGAAACTCGATTCCTCTTAGGTTACCGCGACGGCGAGGTCCTGCGTCACATCTACCACGCCAGCGGAGGGCCACACTCCATCGGCTGAGATTGGGGAGAACCACACTCCACCAGCGGAGACCTCCACTCCAACTGCCGCACTGGGGGAGATCCGCACTTCAAGTGCTTTACCAATGGAGAACCACTGAGTCTGTGGAATTTGGACAAATTTTAGTTCTAGGTAAAATAAGCTTAATTCTATTGATACATGTATATAAAGAATTAAATAAAAATTTATTGGAAAATTCTCTTCACAGATGTCCAAAATAGGCATTGATATTACATTATATATATTTTTTGTTGTTGATTAATTCTAATAAATTATACCTACATGAATAAAATAAATAATAATATGGGGAAACATTTACACATTTGGAAATATGGAATATACCCCTTTAAATAGTAATGGGATTGTTTTCACAATTTGTATATGGTTGTTTACAGAGACTTTATTATATATATCAATTATATTACATGAGGAATGCACTTTAAAACTGTATAAACGTGAGGAGATATTTGACAATTATCTGATCAAATGGGAAAGTGTGCTTAAAAATATCTTATTCATATGTTCTTATTCCCCCTCTACACCTATATCGTGTATATACATCTATTTCAAATGGTCCCGCTATGGTGGAACGCATGTGGAACGCGAGAATCACATCACCATTGAAAAAATCTTGTGGAACGCAAGGGGAACGCACGTCTGATGTCCGGAACGAAATGTGATGACGTCATACACCCAGAACCAGGAAGTGATTGTAATCTAACCAGTTGCAGCTGAATTTCAATCGAGGAACATATGAGAGGACTTTATTTACTGATTGTGGGGTGTATTTAAGAGGGAGGGAGGGGGAATGGTTTTTACTTATTGTTATACCTGTCACACTGCTGCAAAGTCCCTGAGGAAGTCCCTGTAGTGGGAGGAAACGCGTTGGACAGATTGTGGACAGTTTTAATTAATTTTTATGCTGATTGATTCTTACCTATGTGTAAGTAATAAATGCTTTTTATATTTTGTGCACATCGTTCTATATTTCATTCTGGATGCATTTTATTTTCCATGTAATTAAAGGACCACTCTAGGCACCCAGACCACTTCAGCTTAATGAAGTGGTCTGGGTGCCAGGTCCAGCTAGGGTTAACCCATTTTTTTTATAAACATAGCAGTTTCAGAGAAACTGCTATGTTTATAAATAGGTTAACTTAAAGCTCTAGTGGCTGTCTCATTGACAGCCGCTAGAGGCGTTTATGCGTTTCTCACCGTGTGAAAATCACAGTGAGAAGACGCAAGAGCGTCTACAGAAGCATGGAATGCTTTCCTAGAGACTGGCTGAATGTGCCGCAGCTCCTGCCGCCGCGCATGCGCATTCAGCCGAAGAGGCGGAGAGGAGGAGGAGAGATCCCCGCCCGGCGCTGGAGAAAGGTGAGTGTTTAACCCCTTCCTCTCCCCAGAGCCTGGCGGGAGGGGGTCCCTGAGGGTGGGGGCACCCTCAGGGCCACTACAGTGCCAGGAAAACGAGTATGTTTTCCTGGCACTATAGTGGTCCTTTAAGATCTGGAACAGCAGACATTGGAAGCAGAGAACTGCCTGAGAGCTACATTGATTTTTGATACACCCTGTTTTAACAGTCAAAGTGTGAGTGACCCATTGGCACATATCATTATTATAATAGTATCATACGGAGTTGCACTATGTTATTTTGTATTCCCCTATAGTTGGATTGACCCAATATTTGTATCTATGAAAGTTAAAATACAACAGAAAGGAAAGAGATAACCCGCGCCTGTGGTTACAAACATATATAAGTATATACATAAATGGATACAACAGAATCTTGTTGATAGATAAATCTATTAGAAACAAAGACAAAGATAACACATAATCTGAGTGTAGTAATTATACAAAAACATATAAGGTAGTATATTGGAATGAAAGCACACTCACACTTTCAATAGCTATATAGAGCTCTGCTGTTAAGGGCATGGACGGTATAATCCCCGTCTATGGACATAATCCCTGCAGTAGTGATGGTGGATTCAGCAGTGAAGATGGTATTTTTCTCAATGAAGTGCGGTATGTGAAGACACAAGTGAGAACATCCAATAGTATAGTATGTATGGTACACTTTTCCTTTCTTAGATAAAATAAGTATTGTACTCACATTTTATAGAGCATAGACCTGCTCTGGTGTAGTAGGGCATTGGTGGTACAATCCCCACCTAGGATATGTAGAACTGGAAGTATAATGGAATTCAGGAAACCGGAGGATTTAAAAAGTAAACACCAAATTAATTCAAATTTTAAATTCAAAAGGTTAAACTTTACTTTATATTATAAAATCCAAAATAAGTAAGAGCACACTTAACGCGTTTCACCATGGGGTTTCATCAGAAGTGTGACTTTACTCTCAAACACATAAACATCTATAGCCAGCCTTGGTGTGAAGGGCGTACAGCGGTATAATCCCTGCTTTAAAGGATATTTGATGGGAGTCCTCCAGAGGGATGGTATCCAAAACTCATGAGAGGGATATATAAAAGACAGCCAATAGTGCTCTCAGTAAAATAAAATATGCAGTAAATATAAATAAAATGTACTCACAAGTGAAGTGCAGGCAAACTGCACTGTGATGTCAGCGTTGGTGGTATGATCCCCACCTCGGATATACTTAGAGTCACACAAAGGTAAAAGGAAGCCAGGTAAAAAATTCCAAATAAAAAAGTGTATTAAAAAGATGATTGGCACAAAATTGTACGCAAAAAGCCTTTTATTAATAAAAATACACAATCAAAATAACCATAACGCGTTTCACCACTAGGGCTTTATCAAATGGGTTAGCTACCGTTGGGTCTCCTCGTTTTTGTCTTGCATAGAAGCTGAATGGTTGGACCACTAGGGAAATTGAGGACTCTACACCCAAAAACAGGCACCTTATAAAGATACTTTTGAGTGAGACCTCAATATTATCGGACTTTACCTTCAGTTACTCCATCAGAACTTTAGTCCCATCATATCAGTGAGACCAAGTATGTTATATTGCCCTACCTATTCAGACGAACTATTGTACCTTTTACCTATTGGCACAGCCCTTTTCCTGTATTTCCATGTGTTACATGCTCTCTCTTCAGAGGGCTTGAGGGTTACCTTCTGTTGGGCCGCTATCCAGTGGCGTCTCTAGGATTCATTTTTAGGGGGGGGCACATGGTGGGCCAGGGACAAAAGTAGGGGGGCACATTTAACCCCGCCCTCGCCGCAGTTTGACTCCGCCCCTTCTGCATGTTAAGCCCTGCCCCCGACACAATGTGTGTTGTTTTTTTTTGTTTTTTTAATAATCCCTGGTGGAGGATTCATTATTTTCCACCAGGGATTATTAAAAAACAAACACATTACCCTTGATACAGTGCCATAGTTGCCAACATTTGAAAAAAAATTCCAAGGACATTTTGCAGCACAGCTATCAATTACTATCTGTGTATAATATCCCTGGACAGTCAGTGCTCTCTGTATAATACAGGGTTGTGTGTATAATAAATTGGGACAGTCAGCGCTCCCTGTACAGTGCTGCTCTCAGTATAATACATGGCTGTGTGTATAATATCCCGGGACAGTCAGTGCTCCTTGTATAGTGCTGCTCTCTGTATAATACAGGTCTGTTTGTGTATAATATCCCAAGACAGAGAGCAGCACTATACAGGGAACACTGACTGTCCCAGGATATTATACAGACACAGACCTGTATTATACAAAGAGCAGCACTATACAGGAAGCACTGACTATCCCGGCATATTATACACACACAGATCTGTATTATACAGAGAACAGCACTGTCATGCCAAAAGCATGAGTTGGTGTTTGATGTGTGTTTATATATGTTAAGAGTTGTTTTTTTGTAAACCTTGGGATGACATTTATTGTGGTCTTTGATCTTGCACCAGGCCTAGACCATAAAACATCTAGATAGCCATCACCAGAGCTGGACACAAGGAATTTCATAGAGTGGGCAATAGACTGCCAGACCAGCCCCCTCTGATCTCCTCCCAGGGGTCTGCCCACTGAGAAACAACTAGTTTAGATATATGAGGGTGTTGGACTATCCAGTGAGGTCAGTTATTCCTTTTCTTTTTGTCAGTAACTTCTAGGAGACCTATACCATCTAAGACTCCCACAAGAATTCTATATGGGGTAAATATATGTAAGGAATTTCTTGTGTTTTCTCCTATTTTATTTTATGTACTGTTTTGCAATTTGTTATCTGTATGTCATTTATTTCTGTATTTTGTACTCAGCACTGTGAATCCTTTTTGTCAGATTAAATGTTTACTTAATCAGCTTGTGTCTCTGTTCTCTATGAACTTCACTCTCCAGAGGAAAGCTCAGGTAACTAGGTAACTATATATGTTTTATCAGTAAAAGTAGAACTGTGATACTATAATTCTCCTGTGTGTGGGGTAACCTAAGACGCCCGGGTTTAAACGTCTTGGTGGTGGCAGTACTAAGGGGGTTAGTGTAGAAGGGATTGCAGGGGTTAATTGAGTGGTTGCTGGGACTAGCATCTGGTAATCAGGGGTCTGGTGTCATTAACCCTGTCACTTCCACACTCTCCCCACTGTCTCGGCTGGGCCTATAGCCCACGCTCATGACAAGCACTATAGTATTATACAGATAGCTGAGCATATACCCCATGTCCCAATCTCTAGACTACTAGTGCCTGTCAACAGCAGCTCCCAGGCGCGTGTAACAGGGCTTAAGTGTGCGGCAGCTCACACAGATGATTCGGCGGTAAAGCACACTCGCTGGCAGAGCCAAAGCAGTCCTGGAAAAAAGTTTATGCCATTCCTACAAGTCAATATAAATATATATATATGTATATATATATTGTACAGTAAGCACGCAAGCTCACTGACATGCACAAATAGGCTTGCTGAAAGACAAAACTCTCTGACAAACACAAGCTTACTACAGACAAACTCACTTGTTTAAACACAAGGCTCACTACAAAGACGTTCTGGGACACACACAAGCTCACTAAAGACAAGCTCACTGATACACACATGCTCACTAAATAGAAGCTCACTGACACACACAAGCAGTACCATTTTAGCAGCGTTAATGGCCCCCGGGCAAAGCATTGCACTGGAGCCCTTCCTAGACAACTCACAGGAATAACATTTTAATTATTGATAGACTGCTGAGTACATACACACAGTACACTGAATACGAACACCGAGAGACTGCTGAATGCACACACACACAGATTTCTGAAAGCACACAGACTCCTGAATGCACACAGGCGTTGCTGAATGCACACAGGCTGATTTATACATGTACACACACACTGCTGAGTCCATATACACACACAGAGACTGCTGAGTCCATATACACACAGACACACACACACAGACTGCTGAGTCCATACACACACACTGCTGAGTCCATACATACACACACACAGACTGCTGAGTCCATACACACACTCACACACTGCTGAGTCCATACACACACACAGACTGCTGAGTCCATATACACACAGACACACACACACAGACTGCTGAGTCCATACACACACACTGCTGAGTCCATACATACACACACACAGACTGCTGAGTCCATACACACACTCACACACTGCTGAGTCCATACACACACACACACAAGCTTCCTCACTAGCAGACAGACAGACAGACACACACACACACACATATTAAGCCTACCTGTCACTGTCACTGGAAGCTGTTGCTGGGGGTCAGACAGCCATCTTCTGGCCTTTCCAGCAGCAGCATGGTCTGCTGCTTAACCGCAGGGGCAGGGCTTATGTGCGGGAGGTGGGATTTCATTTGGGGGCGGGGCCTGTGCCGGGGAGTCTGTCAGTGCTCCCTCCGGCCACAGACAGCTCCCAGCATGGTTCCAGACCCTCTGTCCTGCATTCCCTCAGGCTGTGACAGACTGTTACATTCCGAGGGAATAGAATTTAAACACATGGCCAGCAAGTTGCCGGCATTTGGGGGGGCACAAGGTGGGGCACAGCATGATGTAAGGGGGGCATGTCCCCCTCTTGCCCCCCCCTAGCGACGCCACTATCCTACCTTACTTCAGTTTTATTAGCGCTTACACTTTTCTTATTTTTCTACCACATGCGAATAAAAATGACTGCCAAGTCACTACAGAAAACATGTAACTCAGCTCTTGCAATATCTGTTCTGAGATCAGTAAACAAGGAAATTATTAACAGATCGTTTAATCTAAAGAGTACGTTTGTGATGGAAAATGACAACAGTAGGCATTCTTTTTTTTTTTTTATTATTCTTTTTTTGTTGTTGTGTAAATAGCAAGTAACAGGCAAGCTGATTATGCCACGATAGCACAGACCAGCCTATGAGAGGTTACATGTCTTGACCCAGACGTGGTATGCATGGCAAATACACATTTTTTAGGAAGATATAAATGATGTTGCACCTCCCTGTACCCTGATTGTCCAGGGACCTTTTAAGCCTTGTCCTGGAAGTGGGGGGACGGGGGTTGAGGAGTGGTACTCCAATGTGTCTATGTGGTCTGGGTTGTGGTATATGAGGTTGGAAATGCAGTAAGAACAGTTAAGTAAATAAAAACATACAAACAGGAGCAGGTAAATTGTGTCCTCAATAGGTGGGAACATAGTAAACTGGGAGCCTCTCCTTGTCTCCATGTCATATCCACAGAAATGTTTAGAATGTTTTATGTGGACGAAAGCTTTATGTTGAGTTCCTGTTGGTTCTTTCTATAGAATGAATATCCAGATGTAGTTTGCTTCTGAAAGATCTTCACATCCTAGAAAGATCTTCACATCTGTTTGCAATTTGTATGTGATTAGTGTTACATATTCCTGAATATATATATATAAAAGGGAATTGGGGGCACGCCTGGAACCTAGATTTCTCAGTAGGGGTGCTGCTGTAGGGACCAACATGTATAAAATACAGATTAAGGAACAGCTCACACACAAAAAAATAGTTCTCACCTATCTCAGCCAGCAAATATGGGGATCAGTTCCACCACATGGCCATATTGTGTTGAGCCCACCACTACACCACAGTACCCCAATATCGGTGAGTCCTACACTAATTTCAACATGGGAGACAAATTAAATAGTGCTAAATGAATTATAGTGTATTTAATATTCCTGTAGCCCCATGTAGCCAAGCGCAGCTAAGCGGAAAAAGGCCTTGACAGGGGTTAGGAGGCGGGCCTAGGAGGA